GGGCCTGGTGGGGGGAGGGAGGGAGGAAATCAAAATATGAAGATAGGTTATATTATAATATATTTTAAAAGTTATAATCTTATCTTATTTAGTAATAAAACATAAGCTTTTGAATTATTATAATACAAAGCGTCAATTCAAATTAGTTTAATAATGATAGCATTATGCTTTTACCAGTGAACTGGTATACTGTAAATATGAAAATATAAACATATAGTATCTTTAACAAATCTCTATCATTGATATAATATAATTCAGATTAGAATAAAAAGTTATACTGAATTGCAAAATTTTTTGCGGAAAAAATAAATAAATCATCAGTTAAGTTTTTAATTGTTGCATACATGATGGAATTTGTTGCGATATACAATGAGTGCGTCTGCATTGAGAGGAAATTTTCAAAACTCAAGGCTAGAATCATAATTTGATCTGAATACCTACAAAATCCGATAAAACTTAAAATATTATTGAGTATTAAGTTTAACATCAATTTTCTCACGTCTCTTTTATTCAATAAAGCTGCTTACATACTGTATACGTTTTCAATTGTAGTGAAATAAACTATATAAACGAAATAGACAAGATAAACAAAATAAGCTACAGTATATAAATTCTATAACTACAATATTATTTTGCTTTCTGCTACTTAATTAATTCACGCAATTTTCTCTATTCGTTTTTCACATGCATTTTCTCTTTCACACATCATTGAACCATTAACATGCATGAAACAACTTCTCTATTTGCGCAATATATGATGAATGCGTCACTGAACCATCAATGAAATTGTTCGTCATTGAACCATTAACGTGCATGAAACCTAATGATATCGAAGAAAGATATGACGACCGCCAACTCAAACGCAAGATTGAAAAAAAAATTTTTTACATAAACTTTGAAGAAGCGGAGTTTAAGTTACTATTTTGGGGTGCAGAAAATGCTCCCCGTACGTCACTCGTACAGCACCTGTGAGGTGTGCTTTTGGGTGAAATTTCCGACCATATGTATATCACGTGATTGTGATGATCGACACGCAACGAATTTTGCTACCGTTGTTGCTCTAATATAATTAAAATAAAAATCTTATGCTATAAAATTAATTAAACATATTTTGGCAAAAAATTATTATATTTAAAAATTATTATTAAATTATAAAAATAGTTATAAAATAGTAATAATAATTAAATAATAAATGATCATAATAAATGATATATAATATAATTATAAATATATATTTATTAAATAGAAAAAAACTTTTAAGAGATTTAAACATAAAATTATAATAATAAAACTTGTTAAATGCAAAGAAAGATAGTCAGCAATGAAGTATTTTTAAAAAATATCTCTATAAATAATATATCATTTAATATATATAATAATAATAGATAAACAAATAAATAAACAAAATTAATAAAAATTATAAATAGAGTTTCTATAAATAATATGTTATATACAATATTTATACTTATATGACAATTATATAAACAGAATAAATAAATTGAAATTTTTTAATTTTTGATTAAATAAAGTTAATAAGGAATTAGATTTAAAACAATAATAAAAATAAATTAAATAATATATAAATAATATAATATTTTGATTTTTAATTTACTTTTTTTAAAAGTTAGCAAAGTTGTTTCACTTAAAATTATCTTATCCATAAAATAAATAATAAAGTTTTTTTAATAAAAATAAATTCACAATAAAACATTAATACTTATATTTTCTATTAAAATATGGATATAATTCAATATGCTCAAATTGTAATACAATTAGAAAACCATATCGAAAATTTCAAAATTTTTAAATTATTAAAATTGAAAAATCAATCCACCATAATAATAATAAAATCCAAAAAATTAAATAATTATAATAATATTGTAATTGAAAACTTAAATATAATATTGAAATTAATAAATTAATAAATAATTATAATATTAAAATTAATAATGTGAAAATTTATTATAACAATATTAAAAATCTTAAATATAGCTATAATATTTAAATCAATGATATTAATATTGAAAAAAATATTATATAAAAATTCTGATCAATTTGTTAATTGATTACAACAAAACAATTAACTAACTATTGAAAAAAATAATTATAAAAATAATGAAAATGATAAGATATTAATATTACCTTTATTGGTATTGAAGAACCAATAATAATAAAATAATTGATAATATTAGTTTATATAAAAGTGATTTTGACATTAAATTACCAATAATTATTAATGATTTTAATTTATTGATAAATAAAGATTTATCTTTAAAAAACTTTCTATTGATTTTTCATAAAATACAAATTAAAAATTTGATAAAATATTATTATATATTATTAACAAAAGGAAAGAAATTCATATCTCACTAATCCTATTAGAAAATAATAATAATAATTGCATATACTATAATTTTTATTATTTATTACTTAATTATCATTGTTGTTATTTTATAATTTATTTATTTTTTATTTATATTTAATAAAAAAAATTTTTAAATGGAATAATTTTTATTAAAATATTTTTTATTTAGTAAAACCTATTCAATCTATAATAAATTTATAAAAATATTAATTTAAATTATGTTAGAGCAATATTGGTTTCGCGAGATTTAATTAAAAATTTCTCGCGATTTGTTACGTGTCGATCACATGAATCATACATGATTCGGAAATTTCACACCTGCACGAGTGACGCACGGGGAGCATTTTTCTGTACCCCCAAATACATAGTAAGCTATCAAAAAGAAAGGTGCATGTACTTTATGAGATCGGGTGTGCAACTTATTCATCTTGTGTAATATACATTGAACCGTCAATAAAGTATTTCGTCATTGGACCATTGATATGCATAGACCTAATAACTATCGCTGATTTAAAAAACATTCTTTATCGAGTGTTTCAAAAAGCTATATAAACATTGAAGAATTTCTCTCTAAGGTTTATAATTCGTCACAATTTAGTGAGCAAAATATAAAACATGAAAAGACAAACTTTCAAATTATTTTTGATTTTAATCTCCTATTTTCTGATACTAACAGTCACTGTTGATTCGCAACAACCTACCCCCAGCTCCACCTCCACCTCCACCTTTCCATTACAAACCACTACCTATTCTACAACGACCATCACCAAAACATGCACATATACATCTTTAAGACCTACTACTCTTTGCGGAGATAGTGGCCAAACAATCACTTGTACTGTTCATACAACGACATGCTGCATTGCTCCGGGCCAATCTGTTCCGGGTTGTAGTGTTTCAAATTACCTTCGATGCTGTCATGGATGTGCTGGGACAAGATGCTTCTAAAAATTTTTCACTAGTATTAAATTTCAACGTTTTGTATTGATATCTATCAAGGTTTAGTTTTGTGGTAAAAAATTATTGCGGATGTATTCTTATAATTTTATTATATTTTGACACGGTTAATTATAAGAAAACTTTCTGGTGTATATTAGCTTGTAGTCATTGTTCTGGTAAACTTTTTAAATAAACTTATTTGTTTTATATTCCTTGTTTAGTTTTAAATTTACAACGCAGATTGGAATGTTGTTAAGAATTAACGAGAACTTATAAACTATGTCTTCAAGATAATGGATAATATTTAGATAATTTATTATTCCTATTAGGGAATTAGAAATATGTAACTAATTTTTGAAAACTCGTTATCTTTTATTGATTTGTATATTGCTGCGCCATTCTTCTCGCTTGGATCTTTTACGTGACGCGATGGCGCGTCACGTTACCGCACCACATCAAATTCGCCCACAAGAATATCGGGATTTAACCTGTACCATTCCTGTAATATCAGGATTTAGCATTTCCTTGAGTTTAATTTGGATACTATTAATTAAAATCCGTCAAGTTTTAAATATAAACACAAAACCAATTTTAAACTTTAAGGACATTTTAATAATAGTTATAATTTAAACAGGCTCAGATTTTATTTTTCGGTATATAAAAAAGTTTCTTAATATATATATTTTTTCTTTCCTTTCCTTTGTGTGATTATTGAAGAATAATTCTAAAGAATCTCTTGATATTTTACTTCAAATAAAAATCTCAATAAAAAGTCAATATATTTTGCTCGAATAACTTATAAGCAATCAATATTTTATTTTTATTTATTTCACTTACCTCTTATTGCATTTGAAATAAATAAATAGGTTTAAAAAAAATTGTGTTTACTTATAAAAATACAAGTAAAAAAAAAAAAATTTTTTTTTTTATACATGTACAGTATATAACTTAAATTAAAAATTAGATAATGTACACGCGCAGCATATGCACATTTAAATTAAAATGATAACAATTTTCACCTGGGTTATAAAAATTTACAATAAAAAAATTTTTTTGATTAAAGTTAATGCAATTATAAATAATAATGATACCATATATTATTGTAAAATTAATTATCAAACTATTTTATTTAGTATAACATTCTTCTGTGGTATTACAAATCAAAAAAATTATGTTTATTTGTATTTTTTTTTTGTTTAATAGTAATACTATAGCGTACTCAATTGTTTTACAATTGTTAAACCTAGAATTGAAGTGTTTTATACTTTATTAAACAGAAACTTAAAGAAAATTTTAAAAACATTACGAAAAGTAAGGAAATTCTAAATTTTATAATGCCAATTACATAATAGAACACTCATTACATCATTATATTGTTTTCTGCTCGCAATTCCTGGGCACATCGTTGGTCACGTGACCCGGGTCGCGTAACCCACTATTACTTTTCCATCTTATAACATTATAACATTAATCAAATATTCATAAAAAATTATTAAGTCTTAATGATTAAATTTAGTTTTTAATAAATTATTAATAGTATACTTTGTAACATTGGCGTATTTCTTTATATAAAAAATTTTATTTGACGGAATACCATATGCTAATGCATTGACTTAACTAATAACATAATATAATAATTTACTAACTCATATACGTATACAATAAATTAAACATGGACTTTACAATAAGCGAATGTTTAATCGTCAACCTTTCTGGTCTCTTCTAGCTCTGATGTCTTTGCTTTTTCGGCATCCACTTTTTGACGTTGTTCTACTCTTTCCTTTAGCCTCAGATAAAAGTCATTTACTGTATAACACGTGAATAACAACGCGAGAAACATCTTGATCCAAATTACAGAGGGTGCAGCGATCAAACAAAATATTAAATCACAACAAAATTCGATCGTCCACATTGGCCTTCTGTATTTTCCATAGTCCGCTCTAAATAACTTGTGAGGGCTCATACGTTTATCACTGATATGTGTATTCTCATCTTCTTTTCTTTTGTACATGAATGTTATCATTCCAATTATAAATGCTAAGATAACGGGTAGTAACACAAATAAATAAGTATCTGAGTCAACATAGCCCTTCTCCACTGCCAGAAAAAGAAAGACTAAATTTTTGGTAAAGATTGAAACACCGTTGAGAATAACCGGATAGAATGCATCTCGAACAAGAATAAAAACGATGAGAAATACTAGTGGTATGCCGAGTTCAATTATAAGGTAAATCATAAAAAAGAAATCATCTGTAGCTTTATAGATCTTGACCAAGAACAAAATTCTTAAACCACCGATTCCCAAGCTGATAATTATATGAACATAAAGTAACAATTTGATAAAGGCTTTACTTTCATCTAACTTCCTATTAACCTCAGTGGTTAAGATCACTGGAATAATAACAATGATCAAGAAGTCAAATATTGACTCGGAAATTAGATTAGATGCGCCAATGCCTTCTTCAAGAGCATTGACCGAACCAAAATATAGAAGAAAAATCGCCGGTAAAAACTTGATGTGTTGAAAAAGATTTAATTGGCTCGAATGGACACATGACTTTGTTGAGTATCGTTTCTGAAATTGAGTATATTTCGAGTCCGCAAAAATAGAAGATTTCTCTTCAATATTGTTATTGAGTGAACGGGCATCGATGCCACAAGACAAATCCTTGGTGAAAGATTTAACAGACATGAATTTTATTTACGGCTTATTATAAGCTGTAATGAGAATGAATAAGAGTTTGATAAATCACTTATATACAAATCTAAGTCTGTATTTGATGTTACATGATCGGCGAGGTAAGATGCACTGTAGCCATATTCTCCATTGATGTCATTGAAGAAATTACGTAGATTACATATTTGGTTTCATGAATAGGAGTTTGAAATTTGATCAAACATACCACTGTACATGTATGTGTTGTATCATGGAAAATTCGGTGAAAGTGATTGAAAAAAATTCACACCTATGAAAGATTGTTTAAATTTTTTTCCTTCATTTTATATGATATTTAAAGAAAAGCTATTTATTGAGTTGCATTCTATTTTTATAATAAAACCGTGTTTGGCCTAATACTCCATTAATTGAAATTTCTTAAAGATAGAATCACAATCAATTGTAGTTGTCCGATTAAAATGCAACTTTAGAATTTTGCATTTGATACAAACTTAAAGCTGGAAATAATACATATTCCAAAATTAATTTATCCCAAGAAGTATAACTTGCAGAAGCTTTACCTTTTATATGGTTTCCTTAAATTTTTATTTTATAGCTATCGAAGTTTGTTAAATAAAAATAAGATTATTTTTTTGTTATGGAATGTTACTTTTTATCTTTACTATAAAGTAATTAGTGATTACGTGGTTATAAATAAGATATAGAATGCATGCATTCATAATATATTTATATTAATCTACAGTATTATTAAACTATTTAAAAATCAATTGGATTAAATAAAATAAAGATCATTTATCTTGTATGTTCTTTAATGTCACATAACATCAACATATAAAAATTTTAAAATAATATATAGAATAATATAATTTTTTTAAGCTAAAAAACATATGGTTTTTTATTTAAATTGCATGCATAAAATATATATTATGAAAAAAAAATAAATACTTTTTATATGTAATATACAGTATAAAAAATATGCTAATTATTTAAATACTAGTTTATTTTTATTTTTTTATTGCAAATAAATATCAAATATAAAATTTTATTTAACTAAAATATTTATAACCATTGTATTCATGATCTTATATATTAACAAGAATATAAATTATGTAATTGTAACAAAAAATAAATAAAATTTTTTTTGATTATATTTTTTTATAATAATTATTATCAAAAAAAATTTTTATACTCTTTATTACAAGTTATATATAGGGTGAATATAATTGAACTATACATAATAGATTAATCAAAGTTAGACAAAAATATATTACCAAACTTTACAAATATAAAAATAGATCTTTAACAAACCTTGTCTTTAATTATTGATTTTTTAACTTCTTCACATATGATATATAATAAAATGAAAATAACTGTTATTATCTTTCTAACAAATAAAAATAATATTATATTTTTAAAACCAAAGTAAATACAATACAAAAAATATATACATAATAATTAATATCCCTTTTTCAACTATTTATTTCAATCTTAAAAAACTAAATAATATAAGAAATATTAAGTAATTAAAAGAAACCAGCTGTTTAAAAATGATTATAAAAGAAATATTACTAAAAATTAAACAATATATTCAAAAAAAATCTTTTATATCTACAAAAAATTTGAAAATAAAATTAATTATCATGTAATATTTAAAATATCTTAATTATAAAAACAGTTTTTGAAACAGCATTAATACTTATCTGCCTTCAAAAAAAAAACAATTATATAAATTAAGAAATACTTAAAAGATAATTAAATAATATTTTTTATAAACAAAATTACTTTTAAGCTTTTCAGCAATATTATTAAACAATAATATAAGGATTTGAAATTAATTCAATAGGTTTTAAAAATAAAGCAAAAATCTTTACATAAAATAAGATTAATAAAATAAATAAGATTTGTTTGTTTTGTTTTAAAAGAATAATAAAATCAAAATTTTATATAAATATCTTAAAGAAAATATTGTAAATATTAAAATATTAAAAAAAAAACTCTTTCCCAAAAATTTTGTATCGCTTAAAAATTTCCTTTTTTAGTAACTGACAAAATTCTAAGGA